ACAACCCCAGAGTCTGTCAAGACTGGCCCGTACGGGCAGGGGTACCTTTACCTTTACCTTTTATGCATGTGGCCAACGTCAGTGGGTGGTGAGGAGGAAGTGGAGGCCCTCCAGCACCAGAAAGGGTGTTATTTATATATTATTATTTTAATGTATTTTTAATTTTTGTTGGAAGACGCCCAGAGTGGCTGGGGAGACCCAGCCAGATGGGTGGGGTACAAATAATAAATTATTATTATTATTATTATTATTATTATTATTATTACAGCCATACCTCAGGTTACAGACACTTCAGGTTGCGTGATTTTGGGTTGCGCATTGCGCCGAACCCAGAAGTACCGGAAGTGCGCAGACGCGGCGCTGCAGGTTGCGGATGCTGCGGGTTGCGAACGTGCTTCCCGCACGGATCACGTTTGCAACCCAAGCCTCCACTGTATTATTATTATTATTATTATTATTATTATTATTATTATTATTATTATTAAATTTGCCATCCTCTTTATCTCACCCACAGCAACCCAAAGCAACTGACAACCAAAATGTTACCCTGAGCCCAATACATTTGACTCCTGAAAAGGCACATCCCTGTGATGTCGTCCCCTTGCTGGTGGTTGTTATTCCATTTGCTGCCTGAAACAGCCGCCTCACTTTACCTCAGATCCGTCCACGCAACTCCGCGACCCGCCAAGCTGAATGGATTGTGGGCTCCATTTGTCTTGGTGGGTCACGCAGGTTGTATGTATGCCGGTTTGCTCTACTGCTAAGGCAGCAAAGAGGCCTGTTAGCACTTGTCTAGAAAACAGCTGGTGGTACAAGGAATACTAATAATAATAAGGATAATAATTTGTACCCTGCCCATCTGGTTGGGTTTCCCCAGCCACTCTGGGCAGCTTCCAACAAAGATTAAGAATACATTAAAAAGAAAGAAAGAACAGTCTGTCACGGGTTGTGCATGTCTGCAAGAGTTTGTGCCTTGCATGTGCTCATTTTGTTAGGCCTCGGTTTCAGCATGTGCCTGGCAGGGTGAATTCACCTCTTTGACTCACAACCCTGCTAACCCTTCTCTCTCGAAGAAATCCCTCCAGTCAACAGAGTCACAAGAAGAGAAGTCTCCTCCGTCCCAGCGACCCAGACGTTTGCGACAGGACACCCACGATTTCCTGCATCCTAGTAGCAAAGAATGACGTTTTCCCCAGTAAAACCCCACCTTTGCCTCTAGAAGTTCTGTCTAAAGTTGTGCACAAAATGGCCTCTCAAAATTCTGTACTCTTTAAAGGTAAAGGTAAAGGTACCCCTGCCCGTACGGGCCAGTCTTGACAGACTCTGGGGTTGTGCGCCCATCTCACTCAAGAGGCCGGGGGCCAGCGCTGTCCGGAGACACTTCCAGTTCACATAGCCAGCGTGACAAAGCTGCATCTGGCGAGCCAGCGCAGCACACGGAAACGCCGTTTACCTTCCCCCCAGTAAGTGGTCCCTATTTATCTACTTGCACCCAGGGGTGCTTTCGAACTGCTAGGTTGGCAGGCGTTGGGACCGAGCAGCGGGAGCGCACCCCACTGCGGGGATTCGAACCGCCGACCTTTCGATCGGCAAGCCCTAGGCGCTGAGGCTTTTACCCACAGCACCACCCGCGTCCCTTCTGTACTCTTTATTTGTGGGCAAAGAAACCGTGGGGAGAAACATTCACAGCCAGCCCTACCGTTGGACAGATTCAGTTGGCTGCCTCAGGCGGCAAATGCGGGGGGTAGGGAGCGGTGGCCAGATGATAGTGGACTGCATCATGTGATCTGCAGCCTCCTAAGCTCAGGTGCTCTGGAAGGCACTGCCCTGTTGACAATGGCGAAACAAGATTCAGGGCAACGTCTGGACACCACTGCATTGAATGAAAGGCTTCAGTGAGCCAGACACTATCTTGTTGTTGTTGTTGTTGTTTAGTCGTTTAGTCGTGTCTGACTCTTCATGACCCCCTGGACCAGAGCACGCCAGGCACTCCTGTCTTCCACCGCCTCCCGCAGTTTGGTCAAACTCATGCTGGTCCAACCATCTCGTCCAACCATCTCGTCCTCTGCCGTCCGCTTCTCCTTCTCTTTCCCAACATCAGGGTCTTTTCCAGGGAGTCTTCTCTTCTCATGAGGTGGCCAAAGTATTGGAGCCTCAGCTTCAGGATCTTGCTTTTCACCCAAAGCAGCCAAGGCTACATTTGCACCATATATCTAAAGATCTTTTATACAAGTTTAAGTCTCACAGATCTTCCCCAAGGCATACTGGGAACTGTAGTTTGTTAAGGGTACTGAGAGTTGTTAGGCGATCCGTATCCTCGCCCAAGAGCTACAATTCCCAAAGCGGCTTAACAAGCAATCCCTCTTCCCAGAGAACTCTGGGAATGGCAGCTCTGGGAGCGGAATAGCAGTCGTCACGCTGTGGGTTAAACCACAGAGCCTAGGACTTGCCGATCAGAAGGTCGGCGGTTCGAATCCCCGCAACTGGGTGAGCTGCCATTGCTCGGTCCCTGCTCCTGCCAACCTAGCAGTTTGAAAGCACGTCAAAGTGCAAGTAGATAAATAGGTACTGCTCTGGCGGGAAGGTAAACGGCGTTTCTGTGCGCTGCTCTGGTTCGCCAGAAGCGGCTTAGTCATGCTGGCCACATGACCCGGAAGCTGTACGCCGGCTCCCTCAGCCATTAAAGTGAGATGAGCGCCGCAACCCTAGAGTCGGCCACGACTGGACCTAACGGTCAGGGGTCCCTTTACCTTTACCAACTCTCAGCACCTTTAACAAACAACAGTTCTCAGGATGCTTTGGAGAAAGCCATGCCTGTTGAAGTGGCGTAAGAGTGCATTAATTGATAAATTTCAACCCCTTTCTAGTTTTGTCAAGTGTGCAATAACATACCCTTTCCTGTTTCATATGGGAGTAAACCAGAGCAACAAACACCTCTTGGTTCCTTCCCCATAACATGAAATATTATTCTTCCTGTCCACTAATATGAATTAGGTAGTTTGGGAGTTTGCACCCCAAATATGTCTCAATAAATGACGTGGATAAACCACTTTGGTTTACAACCCTATGCGCACTTCTGGCAGTAAGCCCAATTGAACTCAATGAGATTTATGCCTGAGTAGACAAACATTGGCAGAGTACCTGCATTGCATGCAGGAGTTCCAAAGTTCAACACCTGGCATCTACAGGTACAGCTGAGAGCGACCTCTGCCTGAAATCTTGAGGAGCCACTGCCATTCAGTATGGCCATTACTGAGCTAGCTGGACCCAAGGGTCTAACACAGCATGAGGCAGCTTATTCTGTTCCTATGAGTTGACTTGATATCCCTTGGTATAACTTGAGGTGTCTGTCACGTAGGGGTGTGGACAATCCCAGATGAATTTTCCAAGGGTCCAAAAACTCACAAAATCACCGTGTACAGTTGACTGTGTCTCTTACTGTCAGGATTCACTTGTGCGTGCCTGAAAAAGTGGTAGAAATGTGTACAGTGGTACCTCGGGTTACATACGCTTCAGCTTACATATGCTTCAGCTTACAGACTCCGCTAACCCAGAAATAGTGCTTCGGGTTAAGAACTTTGCTTCAGGATGAGAACAGAAATCGTGCTCTGGTGGCGCGGCAGCAGCGGGAGGCCCCATTAGCTAAAGTGGTACCTCAGGTTAAGAACAGTTTCAGGTTAAGAACGGACCTCCGGAACGAATTAAGTGCCGTATTTTTTGCTCTATAAGACTCACTTTTTCCCTCCTAAAAAGTATGGGGAAATATGTGTGCGTCTTATGAAGTGAATGCAGGCTGCGCAGCTATCCCAGAAGTCAGAACAGCAAGAGGGATCGCTGCTTTCACTGCGCAGCGATCCCTCTTGCTGTTCTGGCTTCTGAGATTCAGAATTTTTTTCTTCTTGTTTTCCTCCTCCAAAAACTAGGTGCGTCTTGTGGTCTGGTGCATCTTATAGAGCGAAAAACATGGTACTTAACCCGAGGTATCACTGTACATTTGTTTTCAGACACTCATAAGCTACACATTCAGCAACAGACTTGAACAGTCTCAACAGCAAAACAGTTGAATGGCAGTAGAGGGGAGGATATAGTTTGGAGGAGAGATGGGGCAAATGTCTCCCCCATCTTCTTCCCTGTTACCTCTGCTGGGGTACTCCAATATGAGTTTGTCACCACTGGGAACAGAATCATTAAGGGAGAAGAAATCGGTGGATAAGAGCTTTGCAGGGCCTCCCGCTGCTGCTTCTCCCCTCTGAATCACCCTTTCCCCAACTCTGTCCCACTGTTTTATGTTAACTCAGTCTGACTTCGACCGCCCATTTCGGGCCTCACTGTAGCATAAACACATTTTAATCAATGCCATCTTTCCCCCACCACCCAAGAACACAATTCATTTCGTGCAAGAAAACAATTTTCAGTGAACTTGTGCAAATACAATGGTACCTCAGGTTAAGTGCTTAATTCATTCCAGAGGTCCGTTCTTAACCTGAAACTGTTCTTAACCTGAAGCACCACTTTAGCTAATGGGGCCTCCTGCTGCTGCTGCACCGCCAGAGCACGATTTCTGTTCTCATTCTGAAGCAAAGTTCTTAGGTACTATTTCTGGGTTAGTGGAGTCTGTAACCTGAAGCGTATGTAACCCGAGGTACCACTGTAGCTGCAAAAAAATGGGAGAAAGATGGCCATGGGAAATGTGTGAGAGCCCCTCTCCACGTTCTCCAGGCAGAGAGGAAAAAGAATTATTTAACAACTTCTATTCTGCCTGATGGGGAGACTTGTGTCAGTCAAAAGTTCACATACTTGATGCAATAAAAAAACATTGCTTTAACTATTTTGTTTTCCTCTCTCTCTCTCTCTCTCTCTCTCTCTTTCTGGTGAGTTCAGGGTTAAGACTTTCCCTAGCAGTGTGTGTGCAAAGTGTGTGTGGGTGTTAAACTTTGTCCCCGATGCCACTTTGGCAAAATTTTGTGACTACTGCTGCTGCTGACTCTGCCAGTCCCGCCTCCCTCCCCCCCCTCTTTCTTACCAGCTGAGCTGGGTATTTAAGTCTGCACAGAGGGTCTGGCTAAACACTTTCCAGACTCCAGAGGAAGAGAAGGTAAAGGAAGGTGAGAGCAAAGCAGAATAACTGGCAACTTTGCACAATCTTTTCTTGTTTTGAAGGTGTGTCGGGTTTGTGGGTTCTAATGTCCATTGTGGACTGGGACCAAGAGACCAAGGGGAAAGAGCTGTTTTCGATTTAAGGACATTTGGAGAAAAGTCTGCTAATGTAGGGTTGTTGTTTTTGTGTGTTTTTATTAATGGTATGGCATTCGGTGGGGTCTCCCTTTCAGGACTGAGCAGATGCAGTCTCATCGTTGGCTGGTCTGCGATTAATCCTGTGTGTGTGTCTCTTAAAGATTCCTGCTGGTGGAGGAAAATACCCACACCCACCCTCGAGTCACTCCATTACCTAATTTTGTCCCTTTTTCTTATGTCTCCGTTTCTCAGAAGGGTCCAGAAAAGTCGGTGATCATGAAATTCCTTGCCCTGTTTTTCACAGCAGTCCTGCTGGGAGGTGAGTGGCGGAATTGGAAGAGGTGGTTTGTCTTGGATAAAATCGGACGCACACAGAACGAGCTAAGCACCCTTCGTCCCCTCTGTCCCAATGCTCCTTAAAGGCTAGTTCAAAGGCAGCACGGACTTCTATACTCGGTGGGTGTGGAACTTCCACAAACAGTGGCAGTTTACCTCGGTGAAGCAGATCAGAGCAGCTCTTAGTCTTATGCCATGATTTATTGGGAGAATATCGCTTCTCCACAAGTTGTGTGTGGCGTGAGCTAATGTAAAGAGGGAAAGAGGGATGAAGGTAGACTAGACACATCAGAACATCAGGGTTGCGTTGTGGGGAGCGGCCAGAAATCTGAGTTAGCTTGACTTTTGTGCTTTGAAATTATGGGGATGTTGGCCACATGGGCTTTAAAACTCTGTCCTGCTCACTGTGCGATTGATGCTGCTTTATTAAAAAAATTGGACACTTGTCCATTTAGCTCAGTGCTGTCTGCACTGGCTGGTAGCAGTGTCAAATTTACGTATAAGCTAAACAAGCTATAGCTTAGGGGGCCCCCAAAAAAATTAAAGGAAAAAACCTGGATGTACATTTCCAAAATAGAAGATAAAAAACAAATAAAATAAAACCTACATACAGCAACAGTGTTTTGCGTTGTGTAGGCTCCTAGGATGTAAGTCATGGGCCCCGCCTGCTAGCCTGCACCCTAAAATATCACTGGTTTGCTCATTTGTATATATAGGATAGGGACGCGGGTGGCGCTGTGGGTTAAACCACAGAGCCTAGGACTTGCCGATCAGAAGGTCAGCGGTTCGAATCCCCGTGACGAGGTGAGCTCCCATTGTTTGGTCCCAGCTCCTGCCAACCTAGCAGTTCGAAAGCATGTCAAAGTGCAAGTAGATAAATAGGTACCACTCTGGCAGGAAGGTAAACGGCATTTCCATGCGTTGCTCTGGTTCGCCAGAAGCGGCTTAGTCATGCTGGCCACATGACCCAGAAGCTGTACACCAGCTCCCTCGGCCAATAAAGCGAGATGAGTGTCGCAACCCCAGAGTCGGTCACGAGTGGACCTAATGGTCAGGAGTCCCTTTACCTTTAACTATATATAGGGTGCATACATTCTGCATGTGCAAATGGCTTTAGATACCTGTTAGGTCCATAAATTACCATATAGCATATATCCAACACAAAAAACAGCAGCCATTTGTTGTTGACAAAGAGCAGCTGGACATATAAAGGGCCCCATTACCTTCAGTAGCTGAGGGCCTCATCAAACCTAGTAGCATCTCTCAGGGGCACAGAGCGCTTCACTTGTGCAACTGTGTAATGTGTAATATGAAATAAGGGAAGGGACCCATTGCTGATTGTGGAAGGAGGGAGCTATAGAGTCCTTTGCCCCCTCTCATAGCTTGGCAACGCAGTGTAGTGGTTAGAGCATGAGACTAAAACTTGGGGGAGAGCCAGGTTTAAATTCCTGCTCGAAGAGGGTTGACTTGAGTCAGCCGGCCTCGCCTACCTTGCAGGGTTGTTTTGAGGATAAAGAGGGGAGTTCTCGGAGGGCAGAGCACGATGAACCTGCAAACAAATGGGAAGAAAATGCATCCTAAGGGGAAAGGTTGGGGTGGGCTTGGCTCCCCAGAAGGGAAGGCTCTGTGGGGGTCTGGACTGACCACCCTAGGCTGAAGTAGGTCGCTGTTTGCCTATTTAGGCATGCAGGTGCCTCGTCAAGGTTAGTTTAGGACTTGTGTTTAATAACCGCAACCTTTGGCCCCATCAATGGGTCACCCTATCTAGGAATGCTGAGTTGTGAAAGTAACATCAGCCCTAAGAGTCGCTGGGATTAAGTAAGGACGTTTGTGCCATCGATTGATGACACAAGGGAAGGAGGTGTAATGGCACTTCCATCAGGGCTTGCGAAATGACCAGCATTTTGAAAACCAAAGCACTGGACAGTCACAAACTACACGCTCAAGCCCTTCCATCCCATTCCAGTCACTGAGACACTAGCTAGCAATGGGAAGAGGCGACAAGATGGCGGCACTTCCCCCCTGCAACAGGAAGTACCTTTTTAATTGGGGATATGTCTCCAACAAAGTTATATTCTGAGGAGGCCCACTGAAATCAATGGACACATGCCTATTGTTTTTAGTGGGTCTCCTCTGAGCAGGACTACGCTGCATAAATCCCTTCATGTTTTGCCTCCTTCCCATCACTCGCAGGAGTGTGGCTTCGCTGATTCCAAGGGCCTCACTTTGTAAGTGGCTTGCGACCTGGTGGGATGCCCCTTATTGACAGGCATCCCTCATTCAGTTTGGGGGGACGTGAGTTTGGCCTGTTTCTAGATCCTTGAATGTTTTCCTCCTTTCCCTAATCCACGCAGGCTCCTTGGCCAACCCTGTCCCGGAAGAAGGGACAAAATCCAAATGGGAGGAGACGGTGGATGTCTTCAGGGACGTAGTGACCAGGATTGGGGATGCGGCTGATGATGCCACTGCTCAGATCAAGAGTTCACAGCTCAGCAAGGAACTGGAGTGAGTGATTTTGCTTCTTCTTCCTAGGCGCTAGGTGGGGTTTTTTTAATGACACGTGCTCAACTGGAGTTTTCACAGCCCCAGTGCATGCTCCAAAAAGCCCAAGCTCACATTGCTCTTAAATCTCATAGAATGACATAGATCTTAAGATGGGTGATATCTTATTATTAGAACTGGAACACATTTTGGGGAGAAGGAAAAAATGAAGGCTGTGTACATTTACAGTACATTCAAAGCATGTTACCTCACCCCACCTCAAAGAATTCTGGGCACTGTAGTTTGATAAGTGCTCCTGAGAACTGTAATTCTGCGAGGGGTAAACTACTGTTTACCCATAATTCTCTGAGGGAAAGAATGCATTTCGAATGTGCTTTAAAGGTATAGTATGTACACAGCCCATTTCACACTTACATGGCAGGAATCCCAATCGGAATTGTACAATTTCTGACGTTAAAAAAACCCTGGATTTTAGAATCTTCTGTTTTTGTTTGTTTGGACATCAGCCCTTAGAATTTTCAAATTTGTCAGGTCCTTTGCAAAATGTTGCTTCGGTTCTTGCACCCCTCATTTGTTCTGGAACCAACAGAGCTTTGAAATTTACTGGGGCCTGGTGTTAGAGACGGGCATTGTCAGATTGGTTCACACCCTGATATGGCCACGATATCTTCCAGAGTGGTCCCTCATTACCTCCAGGCTCCTGCTGAAGGATGATTTAGGCTGTGCACACATTTCCAGCTTGAAACACAGTTGGATGTTCTTTTCCTCAGTAATAATAATAATTTATTATTTATACCCCATCCATATGTTTTCCCAGCCACTCTGGGCGGCTTCCAACAAAAGATTAAAAATACATTAAAACATCAGTCATTAAAAACTTCCCTAAACAGGGATGCCTTCGGATGTCTTCTAAACATTGGATAGTTGTTTATTTCCTTAGCATCTGATGGGAGGGCGTTCCATAGGGCGGGTGCCACTACTGAGAAGGCCCTCTTCTTGGTTCCCTGTAACTTGGCTTCTCACAGTGAGGGAACCTCCAGAAGGCCCTTGGCACTGGACATCAGTGTCCAGGCAGAACAATGGGGGTGGAGATGCTCCTTCAGGTATACTGGGCCAAGGCTGTTTAGGGCTTTAAAGGTCAGCACCAACACTTTGAATTGTGCTGGTTTGCACGGGGAAAATGCACCAAGACACAGTATTCCCTAACAAACAACTGGATAGATATGGATTGTGGATAATCATCATGTAAACACTGCTTTTTAAACCAGCGCTGGGGTCACACTGGATGCAGAGTAAACAAGAGTGTGTACCCAGCGTTAGTCAGCTTAATTTAGTGATCTTTTATCTGAGTAATAGTTGTTTGGAAGAAGAGTAGCATAAATCCCAGAACATGTCCACTTTCTCTGCGGTGCTGACTGTGGAAGATGTAGGTCACAAGCTGATGTGAGAGAGTGTAGCCAGGATAAACAGGGGTGGATTAACCAATACGCAAAAGAAGCACGTCCTCAGGGCATCAAGGGGGGGGGCACCACAGAAATTTCCCTTTGCCAGATTTACCATATAGACCAGGTCGATATCTGGCTCCCTTTCCTTAGCATCGCAAAAACTGACTCTTGCTCCACCCCCTCATCCCACCCTCCATTGTTGTTTGATCTCTGGAAAGGAAGACGGAGCTTTCTCTGTTTGCTGTTTTCATCAATAGCGATCTTTTTGTGAGTGACCTTTGTCCCTTGCCTTTAGCCACCCCAAAAACAGAAGTCCCCCCCAAAAAAGCTTTTTTTAAAATCCCTAAGAAACAGGGTTTTCTCCTCCCTAAAGCTCAACCACTTTGAGCTGAACCCCCCCCCCCGCAAAACGGGGGGCGTTGCGTTTTGATCACTGCCAGTTTTTAATTCTGAAAGTAGATCGCAGTCTCTTGAGAGTTGGCCACCCCTGATATAGACCATACGGTGCCGCTGAACAAAAAGAAACATTATTCATACGAATACAGGAAAATAAACATTATTTTCCATCTTACTGTAGCTTTTGTTTCATTTCAAAAAAAGAAAGTTTTATTTCACACTTTATTACTGCTTATATTTTGAATTAGATATCTACGGGGATACCAAAATCTTTTAAGCGCTTAGGGTCTCCAAAGGTCTGAATCCTGCCCTGAGGATAGAGGAAGCGGGAGACATTAAAGAGGGAAGCAAATGGCTGGTGATTTAAATGTGTTGCTTTGTTGTTTCCTGGAAGCTCTAATAGCTAGATTTTCCAACCACAAACACTTGGTTGGCACTTGTCAGTCGCAGGGGCTGAAGCTGAGATTGGCTGAGTGGCTGACAGCTTTTTGTTCATGGCTCAAACAGAGTCTGGTGACAGGCGACCTTTTTATCCCACATGTAAGTCAAATCTGACTTGGACTCCCATCTATGCCTTCTGTTTAAGGCTCTCTTATACCACTTCAACAGTCATGGAGAATCCTGGGGACTGTAGTTTGTAAAAGTGCTAGGACTGTGACTCCAATGCAACCATAATAATAATAATTCATTATTTAAATGCCGTCCACCAGGCTGGGTTACCCCAGCCGCTCTGGGCGGCTCCCAACAGAATATTAAAAACGCAATAAAACATCAAACATTAAAAACTTCCCTAAGCAGGGCTGCCTTCAGATGTCTTCTAAAAGTCAATTAGTTTTTTATTTCCTTGACATCTGCTGGGAGGGCGTTCCACAGGGCAGGCGCCACGACCTAGAAGGCCCTCTGTCTGGTTCCCTGTAACCTCACTTCTCGCAGGGAGGGAACCACCAGAAGGCCCTCAGAGCTGAACCTCAGTGTCCGGGCTGAACGATGGGGGTGAAGATGCTCCTTCAGGTATATAAGGTCAATGAGGCTGTTTAGGGCTTTAATCAGCACCAACACTTTGAATTGAGCTTGGAAATGTACTGGGAGACGATATAAATCCTCTTAAGACTGGTGTTATACATTCCCGGCTGCCACTCCCAGTCACTAGTCCAGCAGCCATGTTCTGGATTAGATGGTAGTTTCCAAGTCACCTTCAAAGGTAGCCCCACGTAGAGAACATTGCAGTAGTCCAAGCAGGAGATAACCAGATGGTCTGCAGTTGCCAAGTTTCTCTTGGGTTTTGCTAGTGAGGTATACGAGGGATTTAAATGTATGGTGTGAATGTGGCGCCAGGGTTGCCTAATTCTCCTTGCCACTTAGCAGGGTGCTACAGGCACCCATGTTCCTCCAAGGTGAGCAAGCTCACCTCAGTTGTCTATCCTGCAAGAATTATGGCGGCAGGGCCTAATGCTAGAGAATGACCAGGGTGACATGATAATAATAATAATAATAATAATAATAATAATAATAATAATAATAATAATAATTTATTATTTATACCCCGCCCATCTGGCTGGGCTTCCCCAGCCACTCTGGGCGGCTTCCAAAAGAATATTAAAATACTATAATACATCAAACATTAAAAGCTTCCCGAAACAGGGCTGCCTTCAGATGTCTTCTAAAAGCCTGGTAGTTGTTGTTCTCTTTGACATCTGGTGCGAGGGTGTTCCACAGGGAAGGCGCCACTACCGAGAAGGCCCTCTGCCTGGTTCCCTGTAACTTGGCTTCTCGCAGTGAGGGAACCGCCAGAAAGCCCTCGGTGCTGGACCTCAGTGTCCGGGTAGAATGATGGGGGTGGAGACGCTCCTTCAGATATACTGGACCAAGGCCGTTTAGGGCTTTAAAGGTCAGCACCAACACTTTGAATTGTGCTCGGAAACGTACTGGGAGCCAATGTAGGTCTTTCAAGACCGGTGTTATGTGGTCTCTGCGGCCGCTCCCAGTCACCAGTCTAGCTGCCGCGTTCTGGATTAGTTGTAGTTTCCAAGTCACCTTCAAAGGTAGCCCCACGTAAAGCGCATTGCAGTAATCCAAGCGGGAGATAACCAGAGCATGCACCACTCTGGCGAGGCAGATTCTGACCCTTCCCTGCTACCTCCTCCTTCTCCACAGTGGCTTTATCACAGACACCATGGCGGAGCTGGACCTCTACACAGAGAACCTGCGCTCCAAGATAGGCCCCTACGCCCAGGATGTGCAGCAGCGCCTGACGACCGAAATGTCAGCCTTGTCCGAGAAGCTGCGGACCGACATGGAGGAGACCAAGGGCAAGGTGGTCCAGTACACCAACGACGCACGCCTGATGCTCAACCACAACATGGAGGTGCTGCGGTCCCAGTTCAACCTCTACATGCGCAAGATGAAGAAGCGCCTCACGAAGGACGTCGACGACCTGCAGAGGAAGTTTGAAGCCTACAGAGCGGAGGTGCAGACCAACGCAGACGAAAAGGTGGAAGCCGTGCGCCAGAGCCTGGAGCCCTATTTCTCCAAAATCCGCGAGAAGGGGCAGCAGCGTTTCCAGGCCCTGGCGCAGGCCGTCGGCGAGCAAGGGAAGATGGTCCATGAGCAACTCAACAGCCGAGCTCAGGAGTTGAAGGACTCCTTTGACCAGACGGCCGAAAAGGTGCGCGAGTGGTTCGCCCCCTTGGTGGAGGACCTCACCACCCGGATCCAGGCCATTGTGGAGAAAGTCAAGGAGGCTCAGGCGCAGGTGGAGGCACAGGCCTAAGGCCTAAGGCCTGTGCTCCCAGGAAGAGCAACATGGCTGACCTCCGTTTCTATGGGAACCAAGATGGCTCTCTTTGGCTGGACAGGCATTGACGGTCCTTGCTGTATACTAACCTCACACCGCACGGCAGGTCCCCCTCCCTGTCCAGCTCTACTTGGCCAGAGTGCTGCCATTTTGGCCAATTAACATTCCACACACTTTTCTCTGGTGACCAGCACTTTCTAGGTCCTCCATTAGTAACCGCTGTTGCACCTGCGAACCACTGACAAGAAAAGGGCGCTCTGCCCTGTTTCCCCATTTTAACACCTCACACCCAAGACACTTGTGTCATTCCTTTCACCACAATTTCTTGGCTTTCCTGGTGTTTTTTTTCTTTCTTTCCCATTTTGACCTGTTAACTGAATAAAATGTACTTTGGATACAGGGGTCTCCCTTTCTTGTGATGGAGTTTCATGTCTCGTTTTGCATTGCACAACAACCGATATACACACAGAGCAGGAGGAACAGGTAAACAGTAATTGAAACGGCATCGGTTATCCCGAATCAGCAGCATACCTTTGCAGCTCCACAGGGAGCATGAAATCATAGAAGGGACCCTTGAGGACCATCTAGTCCAACCCACTGCAATGTAGGATGTTTCTGAACACCCAGGTGCAAAAACTCGGGGTTGTTTCTGCTTTGCCAGGTATATTCAAGTCGTTTCTTTCTTTTTGCCCGTCCTGCCACACACAGGCCCAGGCAAAAATGAATGCTATAAAATGATGCACTTGGGAACTTACTGGATTGTAGGCCCTGACAAAATTAGATAGGATGGAGGTTAAAGAAGAAGAAGTAAAGTCTATTGTTTTCTGGGCCTGGAAGAAGGGGCCATCTGAATTGGAGAAGGGGCATAGATCTGATTTGCAGGGAGAAGCTGGCAGTTTCAAACCTTGGTATCTTCAAATAGGGCTGGAAGAGACTCCTGCCTGCTGCTGCCAGTCAGTGTAGACCAGGGGTCAGCAACCTTTTTCAGCCGTGGGCCGGTCCGCCATCCCTCAGACCATGTGGTGGGCTGGACTATATTTTTTTGGGGGGGTGTGGAATGAATGAATTCCTATGCAGAGATGCATTTTAAATAAAAGCACACATTCTACTCATGTAAAAACACGCTGATTCCCGGATCATCCACGGGCCAGATTGAGAAGGCGATTGGGCCGCATCCGGCCCCCGGGCCTTAGGTTGCCTGCCCATGATGTAGATAGTACAGTGGTACCTCGGGTTACATACGCTTCAGGTTACAGACTCTGCTAACCCAGAAATAGTGCTTCAGGTTAAGAACTTTGCTTCAGGATGAGAACAGAAATCGTGCTCCGGCGGCGTGGCAGCAGCGGGAGGCCCCATTAGCTAAAGTGGTGCTTCAGGTTAAGAACAGTTTCAGGTTAAGAACGGACCTCCGGAACGAATTAAGTACTTAACCCGAGGTACCACTGTATGGAGTTTGATGGACCAATGGTTTGGCTCGGTATGAGGCAGCTTCCCTTGTTCCTGTGTGATGGCCCATAGCCTTCTGTAAAGATGCCAACTCTGATTGCCTGATGGAGTCATGGGGCAGAGTCCAAGGCAGATCACTACTCAGGTCGCACAGGAAGGCAGGTGTGGTAACAATCCCCACAGCTGCCATGTCGGCAAGTTGCTCTGCCGCTGCCCTCACCCGCCTGCCTGCCTGCCTGAGCTCAGCATAGCATGTGACATGCATCTGTGAAGATATCTTCCGCATGTGCCTTTGCATGTGTTGGTCAACCTATCTGAGACTCTACAGTTGACCAGAGATGTTGTCTAATGTATTTCTTCTTTTTTTTTAAAGCCCAGCTTCATTTAAAAACATAATGCTCACCCTGCCAATTTCTGGCACTTGCACAATGAATTCTGGCAACTGGCCCAGAGTAAAAACAATCGGACTCTCTTATTTCTGGTTCATTGGCTGCCCTTTGGCTCTGAACTAGCTGTTCACAACAAGGATAGTGCAGTAATCCCTTGGCTACTTACAGTGTGGCAATCCAAGATGGCTGCCCCCACAATCCCTTGGGGAATTGTCCTCCTCTTCACCCATTGCAGCATCAGAGGCTATAAGTGATGACATATTATGCGTATGGGGTGTTAAGGTGAGGGGTAGCACCTCTGGTAGGGACGCGGTGGCGCTGTGAGTTAAACCACAGAGCCTAGGACTTACCGATCAGAAGGTCGCGTTCGAATCCCCGCGACGGGGTGAGCTCCCGTTGCTTGGTCCCTGCTCCTGCCAACCTAGCAGTTCAAAAGCAGGTCAAAGTGCAAGTAGATAAATAGGTACTGCTCCAGCAGGAAGGTAAACGGCATTTCCGTGTGCTGCTCTGGTTCGCCAGAAGCGGCTTAGTCATGCTGGCCACATGACCCGGAAGCTGTACGCCGGCTCCCTCGGCCAATAAAGCGAGATGAGCGCCACAACCCCAGAGTCAGCCATGACTGGACCTAATGATCAGGGGTCCCTTTACCTTTACCTTTAGCACCTCTGGTGGGGGACACATCATGCTCCTTCTGGGTAGTTTCCCCCCCTTTGGTCCGCACCCTGCATTCAGTTCTCACCTGTGGCTCCTAGAAGCTGTCAGCAGGCGACAGCAGCTACAACCGAGGAACAGATTTGACTGGCCTGCTAAACCAGATGAGGGTAGCTGATGGGTCTCAAACCCTCAGTGAGTCAGGGACTTCCCTGGATGCGGATTAAGCAGATGAGACCAAGAGTGGGTCGAACGGTCAAGAAGGCAGTTACTGCACAGACTGTAGAAGGAAGTGAGGGGCATTTGGGGCTCGTCCACCTAAGAAGGTCACCCATCTAGGAGAAGGAAAACTCAGATCCTAAATCTCTGCTGCCTTGCAGAACATCTTTGGGAGAAGAAACGGCTAAGGAGGAAACCCTACAAAAACCTGGGGTGTAGTCCCAAGACGGTTGGATGGTGCCTTATATGCCTCCTTCCGGCAACTCCTGCAGCCCAGCTGGTGCCAAACGTCTTGCTCTGCTTTCCTTTAGACCACATCAGCGAGACCGGGAGGTGGAGCTCTCTGATGCCAAGGACGTTCTGGCTGGCCCTAGTGGGTCAGAGGGGATACCTGACCCACCTGAAGTTGTCTTGTCATCTGGGCAGCCCCGGACCTCCATCCACACTGCCCAGGATTTCGCCCCAGGGAAGTCACTTTGGTGTTGCTAATACAGCAGTTTGACTTCACCCCCAGAGGCACACTCCATTGTCTCTCGAGACAGATGCCAACAACAGCAGACATGCATGCACACACTCTGAACAATGACAACCTTACAAATTCACATCAGCAGAGAGAGAGAGAGAGAGAGAGAGAGAGAGAGAGAGAGAGAGAAGGGGCAATGGTTTACTAGGAACAGGTACCAGAAACTGGGTTTTCGCCCTGCGTGTCTCAGAGTGGTTGATATGCACGCACATGATACAAAGAGATGGTAATAAGACTTTCAGAGTCAAGCAGAGACATGTCCTTCGAGAGGCAGAACTTGCTTTGGGGAGCGTCGTAGCACCAGATCAGCCAGTGGTATCCACAGTACCGTATTTTTCGGTGTATAAGACTAGATTCTTTCCCTAAAAAACAGTGTCCAAAATTTTGGAGTGTCTTATACATGGGGCGTCTTATAGACAGGAAAGTACGGTATTTAGAAAGCACCCGTGTTTTATTTTAATGCACATTTCTCTGTGGACGGGGTGGAAAAACAAGTCCTTTTAGGGAAGCTACCCATGCAGCTTGGCCCAAAGAAGAGAAACAAGATGGGACAAGAAGCCGCCAAAGTATGACTGAGAACATAGAAGAATACAAATACAGCCTGCATGATGTGAGAATATCCAGCCAGACACAAATGCAGCTCATTGGCCGGATGATGTGTGACAACCACTATTTGCAGCCCTCGAGAGGCGCTGGGGAAGTATCAGGCCTGCCTGGTGACATGTGTTTGGCTTTGTTATGTCCAAGAAAATGATCAAAGGGATCGAGCAACTCCCCCTGAGAAAAGGCGGCAGCATTTTTAGCTTAGGGAAAAGGCGAGTCAGCGGCAACATGCTAGAAGTTTACGAAAACCATGCATGGCACAGAAAATGAGTGGATAGAGGGAGGGTTTATCTCGCTCTTTCGTAGAAGAAAGAAAGAAAGAAAGAAAGAAAGAAAGAAAGAAAGAAAGAAAGAAAGAAAGAAAGAAAGAAGGAAGGAAGGAAGGAAGGAAGGAAGGAGGAAGGAAGGAAGGAAGGAAGGAAGGAAGGAAGGAAGGAAGGAAGGAAGGAAGGAAGGAAGGAAGGAAGAAAGAAAGAAAGAAAGAAAGAAGAAATTCCTGCAGGAATTAAATAATAAATAAATAATATCCTTGGAAATCGGCACTTCTCCACATTTTGCAACGTAGTTCTCCAACCAAATAATGCAAAAAAAAAAAAAAGCATGCATATTTGGGGAGGCACAAAGCCGTCATAAAAATGCACATTATTATTATTGAAAATAGCATACAAGAAACCATTGTATCAGGCAAAACTGCTTGCAGATAATGTGGATAATAGAAGAACCGTACACTAAAATCTTGGTGATTTTTTTAAAATGGCAAACATTCCAAAATCTGGGGAACTGTATTTAAACTGGCGGGGGGGGGGGTAGAAACTCAGGGTTGTATCCAATGCTGAACAAAAGAAGAGCCCTGCTTGGTCAGGTTGACAGGATATCTAGTTCTCTAGCATTCTGTTCTCATAGTGGCCTTCCAAGTGCCCGTGAGAAACCTGCACCTCTCCTCTCCTCCATGAATCTGTCCAATCATCTCTTACATTGGTGTCCATCACTGCCTCCTGTGGCAATGAGTTCCACAGTTTAACTGTGTGCTGTGTGAGGACTCATTTTCTTCTGTCTGTCCAGAATCTCCCAGCATTCGGCATCACTGGGGGCCCAACAAGTTCCCGTGTGATGAGAGAGCGAGAAAAGCTCCCCCCTAGCCACTTTCCGCAGGCCACACATCATTTTATAATTATGAAACGGCGCATGCTGCCGTTAAACTCACACAGACTTTTCTGCTTGCGCAGTGGAACCTCTCCTCCCTCGCTCGAGCACCCTCAAAATCTGCTCCAGACAGTTGAGGATTTGGGGCGGAGGAGAAGAGGGGGAACTCTCATGGCGTGAGTGGAATTTTCCTTGTGCAGTGTTGGTCTCCAAAACCAAGAGACTCGCCCATATTTAAGTGCATTCTAACAAGTACAGTGGAAGGGACGCAGGTGGTGCTGTGGGTTAAACCACAGCGCCTAGGACTTGCCGATCAGAAGGTCGGCAGTTCGAATCCCCGCAATGAGGTGAGCTCCCATTGCTGGGTCCCTGTTCCTGCCAACCTAGCAGTTCAAAAGCACGTCAAAGTGCAAGTAGATAAAA